GGCTTTCTCTTTTACATTGGCTCTGTGTTTCTTATTTTAATAAGACGATTGGTTACATCTACAGTCTTCCTCATTTGATCTCCACATTATGAGACAGGGTCCATCCTTGAGCCTGGAGTCTGGCATTTACCCATTTGGCTGGCCAGCAAGCCTTGAAGATCCTCCTGTCTCTGTCCCTCCACCATTAGAATTATAGGCATACGGATTTTTATGTGGGTGCTGGGGATCTGAATTCTGATTCTCATGCTTGAATGGTGACTAATTTACAGACTGACTCACTCATAAATACTTTTGAAGCCTGCATATAAGTATTTTGCCTGTTCACAAATCTAGATAAATACAGATTATTTTCAAATTTACTTTTATTCAATGAGACATGTTAGTAGTTTCCTTGATATATTCTGACTACATGATCATGTATGAGGAACACTTACTCACATATTAACCATCATTTCCCTAACATTTTTTGTGTATGTTTGAACCTTGGGTTCTACTAGACTTGGTTTTTATTGAACTTATTGCTGTTAAAATGTAGGAAAATGGTCTAAGAAGCCCCGGTGTATACTGTGCCCTGGGCATGCAGCTGCAAAGCCAAAGTCAATACTGATTCACAGAGCTTTTATCTCTCCCTCCCATGATCAGTCCAAGGTGAACTCCAGATGCTGCCTTATTTATCATCCATTGTATTCACTGTTTACAGATAAGAAAGAAATCTTCAAAACAATATAACCATGAAATCATTGTCACCACGACTCTGAGTATTCACTCTGCTTCCTGGTTCTCATTCAGCTCTCTCAGGAGCAGGAAGTATGCTTCTCACTGACTTCCTTCCATCAGCATTTCCTGCATCTTAGTTACATTCTTCAGAACTGTTCACCTGAGTTGCACTCTCCTTTGCTTCTATATAATATTCAGATCTGGCCTTGTTTCTTGAGAAATTTTAATGTCACATTTTCATTCAGTTTTTGAGCATTTCATATATACATACAACGTATTTTAATCATCTTCTCTCCTGCTCCTCCCTCTAACTGCTCCCAGATCCACCCCCAGCCTATTCCAACTTCATGTTCTTTTTTAAAATAGCACACCGAGTTCAGTCTGTGTTGCCAGTGCAAGCGTGGATATGGGGCCATCCACTGGAGAGGAGTTGATCTACCAGGGCCATGACCTAAAAGAAAACTCACTGTTCCATAGAAGCCACCAACTACCCATGGCTCCTTAGCTGGAAGTATAGGCTCATGAGCTGCGCCCCCTGATGCTGAGATGCTGATCTCATGTGGGCAACCACAGCTGCTGTGAGGTCATGAGTGTAGAAGTCTTACCATGTCCAGAGGACACTGTTTCTCTAGTCTTTCCCAACTTCTGGTTCTTACAACCTATTTCTATATGGTAACTGAGATTTGGAGGGACAGAGTGTGATACATATGGTCCACAACCTGGACCAGTTATGAATTTCTGTTAACTGCCATCCACTACATGAAGCGACTCCTCTGAGGAAGTGTAGAGCTATGCTAATCTACAGGTATAGTAGTTTTCTATTTAAATAGAGTCTTGAGGTAGTAGTAACAAAATGCTCATTCCCACATGGATACTACCAGAAAGTTCCCTAAAGATGCTCTTGGGATAAAGCACTATAAAGATTATTCCTAAATGTTAATTGTAGCGTCTAATAATTCAAGGAGCTTCAACCCCTTACCGCATGTAGAAGCACAGTTCTCAAGCTGAGAGTTATAATTACACTCTGAAGTCAGGCAAAGATTTGTATTAGTAAATGGAATGCCATCTCTAGTCAGCTTTAAATATTGACTTCTCTGCACTCGCTTTTTTCTGTAAATCTCTTCTTTCCTCCTGGGCTTGTATTCCAGTTCTTTACAAGTTAAGAAATGCCTGCACTCAGAGACTACTGTGAATTAGGAAAAAGAGAACAGCAATGAAAACTGGGGGAACTTAATTTTATTTCTTAGCTTCTCCATCAGATATCTAAGTCAAAGAACATGATGCTTAAACTCCTTCAAGCTCAATGTTATTAGCCATACAATGGCTTTGTAATTGTTTTGTTCGTAGCATAACTGTGTGGTGGTTACTATTCACTGTCAACTTGATGGGTTTAGAGTAACCATGGAGACAAACCTCTCAGAATGTCTGTGTGAGAGTTTCTAGATTTAGTGACCCTAAATGTAGACAGGGCCATTCCAAGTATTTCGGTCCTAGACTGAGAAAGGTAAGAAGCCAAATTCATCTCTCTTTTCATTCTAATTCTTTACCCAAAGCCATCAGCCACTTTATGCTGTTGACATTCTTTCCCCACTCTGACAGACTTCATCCTGGAACTGTCAGTCAAAGTCAGCCCTTCCTTCACAAGTAGATTTGGTCAGATATTTTGTCATAATAATGAGAAAAGTAAATAACAGTTGTGAACTTTAAAAGATAAGGTGTTATATTAATATGAAGATACACTAATACAAATATTGGTTTATAGTGTAAATGCTTTATAAAATAAGATGCATCATAGTAGCTATTCATTGTTATAAGGTTGGAAATTGTTAGGTAAGAAGACTAGAAATGGCCACTCGTCTTTATTTTTTTCCCTGTGGGAACTACTGGCCTACTTGATTTCTGAAGCCACTTGTCATTTCCAAATTCTCAGATTCAATAATCTGGAGAAAAGTTAAGTGAATGGGAGTCTTCTTGAGTTAATTGTTAGCAATCTCTGACATTTTGAGTCAGAGTAGGACATGGAGTAGATTACTGGAAATCAGGAAACCTGGAAACTAGATTCTCTAGAGAGATTTGCCTGCAAGACAACTACTAAGAATGTTCTAGCCATCAGTGTCTTTTAGTGAGAACAGGGTAGATGCTGTAGAAGAGGGAGATGTTGACTGGGAAGCATCCACAGCAAAGGCCCAGGCAGTCCGTTTTCCACAGTTGATAGCTCTTGTATATTTTCTTTAATTCTATCAATTCTTTAAATAAGCTAGCAACACCTGAAGTGTCTGCACATGAAATGTATTGTGCTCATTGTCACATTGTGGGGACTGGATGGGTTACTACTCATGCAATGGCAATGGACTGTGGTGGTTTGAAAGAAAATGACCCCCAAAGGGAGTGGCACTATTGGGAGATGTGACCTTGTTGGAGAAAGTGTGTCACTGTGGGGGGTGGGCTTTGAGGTCTCTTTTGCTCAAACTTCACTCAGTGTGTCAGTCAGTTGACTTCCTATTGCTTTTTGGCCAAGATAGCTCTCTTAGCTCCAGCACCACATCTGCCTGCATGCCTCCATGCTCCCTGCCATGATGATAATGAACTGAACCTCTGAAACTATAAGTGCACCACCCCAATTACTTGTTTTCTTTAAGAGTTGCCATGGCCATGGTGTCTCTTCATAGCAATAAAAACCCTAAGACATGGATGTTGTCAGTGAAATGCATTATGGTCATCTCCATGGGGAATGGAAATTTGAAGGCACAGCTCTGGCAACAGAATGTGAGGTATCATATCTCATCACAGAATATTATATTATGGTTGCTAGGTCAGGAGGGTGGTATACTGCTGGTGTCGTTGTGACAAAGTCACCAACAAAAGCAACACCATGAGGAAAGGGTTAATGTTTTGCTCACAGTTTGAGGATGTGGTCCATAAGGGCAGGCAATCACACAGTGACAGGGTGGTGAGGCCACCGGCCACACCGGGTCTGCAGTGAGGGGGAAGAGAATGGGATGCTGGTGCTCAGCTCTCGTTTCCTGTATCTAATCTGGAACTCTAACCTATTGAGAAGTGGGGGCGGTTTGTGGGGTGAGGTAGGCATTATCTGGATTTCTATAATTCAGTGCCTAATTTAGTTCAGCCCTCTGACTTCTTTAAAGAGATTAACAGACATTGAAGATTAATCCCACAATGAAGACCTCCTACAAGGAGACAAGTATCCACCCAGTGTCTACATATGCGTAGACATGACTCTAGATTCTCTGATTAAATTTTGATTTTTCATTCCTAATCACATAGTCACCCTCTCTCAGGTCATCAGATGAATGACCTTAAATCTTTTTATTTCATCTTCTTTATTCACTTTTAAAGTTTTCACACAGGTACATATCGTATGCTGAGGTGTATTTTCCCTTGCCCATTTACCCCACCCTCCCTTTTTATCTATTAAAAACCATTTAAAAATTATTTTATGTGCATGTGTGCTTGTCAGCATGTATGTCTGTGTATCACCTGTGTGCCTGGTGCCCACAGAGTCCAGAAGAGGACACTGTATCCCCTGGAACCAGAGTCACGGACCGCTGTGAGTTACCATAGGAAAGGAGCCGGTGTCCACTGCAAGAGCAACAGATGCTCTTTGCTGCTGAGCATCTCTCCAGTCCCATCAAGTCCTTTCTAACAATGAGAACAGCCCAGAGA